GCAAGGCTAATAGTGATGAATATTCTGTAAAATCACTTCAATCTGCAATTAATGCACTTAATCAGTATTTTAATGGTAAGACAAGCAAAATTAAACTGATTGACTTAAATGATAAAAAGACACATCCTGATCTTTGGCGTACGTTAAATGGAAAAATTAAAACGTTGTCTGCAAGTGGGTATGGAGAAACTAATGGATCTGATACTTTAACTATCGATAAAGTTCAAAGAATTTTGTCGCATCATCAAACAACAAAGCTTAATCCCGAGGGATTATTGAACAGAGTTTTTTTTTTAATGCACTTTGTCTTGGTTTGCGTGGTGGAGAGCATTTTTTACTAGAGCATGTATCTTTTAACAAAAATATGAATTCTGGCAATTATGAAATTAAGCTTTTTCAGTCAAAAACTAATCAAAGAAGTTTTGAAAGCTCTGGAGTTGCTAAAACATTTCTATTCCACCTATCTTTGATATTGTTGAATCATATAATAAATATTTAGCCAAATGTCCTCCTAATGCTGATCCTCAATTCTATCTACATTCTATAAAAGGAATTTATGGTAAGCAAGTAATCATGTTTAATTACCAGTATCTACTAATTTTTTTATCTAAAAAAGTTAATTTTTATTTAGATTTTAAACCATCGATATTTGGTATGAAAAAATGCATCTTGGAGAGAATTTTATGAAATCATTTTTTAAGCGATTAGTAGAGTCATATGATATTGATATTTCTGGTCATAAAATATCAAACCAAACTGGGCATAAAACTTTAATACAACTTTTAAAATCTCTTGGTTTATCTGATTATAAAACAATGTCAATTTCACGCCACAAATCACAAAAAGGGTTAGCATCTTATGAACATCCAATTAAACATGTGCAAGAACTTGGATATCAGGCTTTGAACAAGGCAATTAGTTATCATAATAAAGAAGTAAATGGTAATTTTTTTAAATTAATTAATTAATTATTTATCGATATCGATATTTATTTATTTATTTATTTATTTTAGAGTCACTTGT